CCCTACACGCATCCAAAAACTAAATGTAGTATAGTTTTGTAGATGCACACAATTGATTTCATACTGTTGATGTAAGCCTCCTACCTCTGTGTGAAAAATTAACTTATATAAATAAAACAATGAACTTGTAATGCATTTGCTCTTGTTAGATGTAGACAGTGGCTCAAATTCTCCAAAGGAAGTGGTGGCTTTGGGTGTTTAGAAATGAGGGTCAAGTTGGAACTTTATCAGTTTAGTCTAGGTGAAGACAAAATTCTACAGCATTTATACATGTGTTAGGAAACAGAAGTGTTCTATTTTATCACAATGAAGTATGTGTACTGTACTCTAATATTATCTTTGATTTACCAGACATACTATATACATTGCATGGTTTAAAAAGGAGGGAGATTTTAAGGCTGCAAACATCAAACATCCCGTAGCAGCATGCGTACAGAAAAAAAATTGTTAGAATAGCAATGGCTTGTACTACTTCTGTGAGTAGTGGCTGTCAGCTGAATGTCTTGGTTATTAAAATACTAGGCATTGGGGACAGAGCTCTAGTGCTTGGGGTAAGGATGGAATTCCCATTATTTTGCATTACGTGCATATTTGGACAATATACTGAAGTACTTTGTATTTAGGAAGGGTATAGGTAAAACTGTCCTAAATATGTATCAAGAGCAGAGAATTCAGGTTTTGTTTTCTTCTGTCTTCAGGTGGCCTTGGAGGACTTGCAGGTCTGAGTAGCCTGGGACTTAATACATCTAACTTTTCAGAATTACAAAGTCAGATGCAGCGGCAGCTCATGTCCAACCCAGAAATGATGGTTCAGATAATGGAAAATCCCTTTGTTCAGAGCATGCTTTCTAATCCAGATCTGATGAGGCAATTAATTATGGCCAATCCTCAAATGCAGCAATTGATACAGAGAAATCCAGAGATCAGTCACATGCTGAATAATCCAGATATCATGAGACAGGTATGTTTGAAAGTGCCTTGAAGACGGATACAATTTTATTATGTGGTTATGGTACAGTACAAAAAGTTAGAAGCATTGCTGAGAAATTTAGGACTGTAAGAGGATCCTTGGAAGGCAAATGCTGGTGATCTTTCTAATTTATCTCTTGAGTAATTGACCTGTAGCTCAGTGTCAAAACAATCTATAAAAATTCCCTGGAGTGTTTTATGACTGCATAACTTGAATGGTCTGCATTTAAATTAAGATATTTATGTGCACTGCACATATACTCTTGCTCTCATCGTAAAGGGGAGGGGGAATGATTGTAACGCTATGGAAAAAAATTAAGTTGGCAAAGTAGAATGGAAATGCCATTTACTTTTATTTTGTCTAACTGGAAATTTTGAAGTGCAACTGACAGCTTCTGGTTGGCTTGTATAAGTCTACCTGGTGATAGGTTTTAACACGCAAGTCTAATGGATGCTATGTACTTGAATAACCCTGTATTTATTTCTTGTAGGTTCTTTTTGATACTTCTAAGTTGAAACAACGTGTACATTTGCAAACAATTTGTTTGAATGGAAATTAACTTAAACATAACTTATTGCTTTCTCCTCTTTTTCCAATAAAATATATTCTTAAACCAACATTTTTTTTTACAAGTTTTGACAGAAGACTTTTATAAAAAGCCAAAAAAAAGTTAGTGGATTAACTTTCTAAAGTTACCAACAAGAAACTTCTTGATTCCCATGTCATAATTTTAAACTGAACTGCCATAGGATAGATAAATTAGTAACAGTGTTTGTTTACATCCTGTCCATAATCGGTCTCAGGAAATCCCCCTCACCCTCAAATGTTCACCCCTAGAAATGTGGCCAAGCTGCTCTGGAGGTGTACACAGCAGCCATGCTCCAGTGTACTGAAGACCAAGGTCTTAAAAGTGACCAGTAGCAGATTATCCCTGAAGCAGTTTTATTGGTGCATTTCAGACTCTGGAGGTGGCCCCAATGTGTTCAGAAACATCCCTGCTATTGCATGCTAGAGGTGTGGCATAGACTGCCGCACTAAGACACTGCTCAAATGCTGGCATTTTCCCTTGAGAATGGATTTCTTATTAATACAGATTAAATGTTCCACTTCCTTAGACACTAGAACTTGCCAGAAACCCAGCGATGATGCAAGAAATGATGAGAAACCAGGACCGAGCCTTGAGCAACCTTGAAAGCATACCAGGTGGATACAATGCTTTGCGACGCATGTACACAGATATTCAGGAGCCAATGTTGAACGCAGCTCAAGAACAGGTGAGACATGGCCACATACAATACTGAAAATTAATTTTTTTTTTTTTTCCGTCACAAGTAAAGGAAAGCATGTTATGTTCTACTCAAGCAATTTGCAAAACTGAATTTTGTGGTGCTAAGTGTTCTTGTACCTTCTGCTTCTGTTTGAGGGGAAAATATTGCAGAAATCCTAAACTCTCAGCCTTCTAAAAAATAAAGTTCTTGCTTTTTTCATTCTTTCATTTTCATTAGAAGCTATTAAATATTGGAGAGTGTGTATTTCTTAACAAAATGTCTACATTTGGTGGAATTGACTAACTTGACCCAGAAAATAAAGGGTCCTTTTAGGAACTTACATTTCTTGCTTCATATATCTCTTCAGCTGTAAGCCTCTGAAAACTAGAAAATATTTCACTTTAATTTGGTAGTAAAACTACCGTCTTGCCCTCCAGGCTTGTTCTTGACTTGTGGCAACTGTCATCATAGTGATACAGATTGTAACACTTTCAAAAAGGCATCCAGCTTTCTTTTTGAAGTTAACCGCTCT